TTTCTCGTGCGCACGTAAGGAAAAATGCGCACTCTTTTTTTCAAATTTTTGTACAGGAAATTGCGCCTCTTTCTAACATCAGGAAAATGCGCACGGTGATTCCGCTCTTTTCTAGATTGAAGTCCGCATAAATCATCTCACTTTTGTCTTTGTCATGAAGAAGTCTTTCAGCTAAAGATGTATTGAACAGCTTTTGATTATTTGAAATTTTATGGAGAATATTTCTTATCAGCGAATGATGTGCGGTCACTTCGGAATGAGATCAGGTGTAGTTTTGCAAAAGTGAGATGCTCTTTTTGAGACCAAGCTGATTTCAAGCTTGGTCTCAAAAGCTGCCGCGAAAAATCTGCTAAAAAAAGTGAGGGGCTCTCAAAATATACAGATGTTGTCAATCTGATAACATTAAACAATACAGAGTGGAGGAATAATTACAGCGACAAAAAGTTTGTAGGATTAGTTCTCGCCGACCTGAGCTTATTTTTTTGTTCCAGTCATTATTCCTACCTATATATAATATGATGACCGTCGTGCCACGCTGATTTTTCAAAAAGTCGTTTCTGCCTTTTGGGCGTTTACGGAAAGGCAGGCAGGCTTTGGTAATGAAAAAAATGAAAGCCTAAAGCCCGGCCTTTAGGCGTTCATTTTCAATTTCAAAAAAAGCGCGAGTTCAAGCCAGAGATTCGAGAAAAATTCTCACAGAAAAAAATTATTTTTTTACATGCTGAATCACAGTTTTTTTAATAACTCAATGAGGAATAATAAGCAAAAAAACCCCTGATTTTTCTCGTTAAAAACAGCGAAAAAAATTCGACATGAAGAAAAATTTGAGCTTTTTTTGAGCCGGGCCGAACCACCAAAAAGTTCTTTCAGTGATTTTTTTACAGCCAAGTACAACATTGGAAAAATCTTGAATCAAAGATATTAAATTACGCATCAAGGCGGTTAGAAATGGAGTTTATTGCGACCTTCAGATATTATTCGATAAGGTTGCCTTGAAGCTCAATTTGAACGTAATTTTAAGGTTTCTGATTCACAAAACTGGTAACGATTCACGTTTATGTAAGCCTGTCAACTGGAAAAAGTCGAAAAAAAGCTTTTTAAAAAAACATGAAGGAAATTTTTTTCCGAAAAAAATAGAGGTGTGCCTCCACTTGGCACGCTGTTTGACGCTCTTCATAGGCGAATCGAGAAAGGGTGTCGCGAGACCCTCTGAGGTTCATCGCAGGGTCTGAAGTCTCGCGATGGTACCTCTGAGGACTTTGAGCAAAAATTAGTGAGACTAGAGAGAGACTCTCGGCACCCCCTGAGATGCCCTCAGATATAGCTATAAGGTATGCCGGAGGTCCCACGATGGACACGTTATGGGGTCTACACGATCCATTTTTGAGAGGAATTTTTTTGCGGAAAAAAATCAAGGTGCTCCTTCTGATTCGTCTGTGTTTGTACAGACAAAAAAAGTACACCATCGAAGCTGTCAGAGTATTTGCAGCAACACTCAGTTGCTAATATTAATGATTGGGCTATTTTTACTATTCTTGCATTCGAAATACGTCATTTTGCTTGAAACTTCGTAAAACGGCAAAACTCAGCTTTTTTTCTGAGTTTCTGTAAGAGATGAGGTCAACTCAGAGAGCAGTAAACAAGATAATTTCAAAGGTGTGTGCCTCTGTTCGTGATATGAAAACCAAATAGTTCGAAAAAAATTAATTAAAAAAAGAACGGAGCGCCGGCGATCTCGATTCGAGGTCAAATAGGCTTACTAGAGAACTTCGCGAACTCGTATTCGCGGATCGAGTTCAAACTTTAGTGGTTTGTAGACCTGAGCCAGAATACATGAAAAACAAGATAGAATACCTGTTAAACCGGATAGAGAACTAAGAAAAAATTTGTAGAAAATGCGCAGATCAAGCCTGAAAATTTTTCAGAACACTGTGTTTTTACCTTATTTCATATTTCAATACAATCGTCTCGAATGACCCAGCTATAATAAAACACTTAAAAACTCTATTCCAGCCAGAAGGAGAAAAAGCAGAAATTTGATAATTTTCAAGCCGAAACGCAGTTAACTGTTCATTTTCAAAAACGCTTTTTTTCAGTACCTTATGGGGTTTAGCAGATTTTATTGCCTGTTTTTAAGTACCCTTTACTTAGATCATTAAAACACCAAAGTTTGAACTTGATCCGTGAATACGAGTTCGCTTTAGTTCCCTAGTCAGCTCAAGCCAATTTTTTTGAGTCCTTATCGGAAAAGGTCTTATCCGGTTAGAAGAATGGAGTCTTGTTCTTTTTTCTGTTATCCCATTGACTCCATTTTTGAGAAACTTCAGTGTGCCGCTTGTAACAGTACACACCAGTTTTTTCCTACTGACTTTTGGCCGCTCTGCTCAAAAAAATTGTGGCAAAACTGATCTCGACCATCTGCGTGCCGCAGCCGCTACATTTTCGAGCGGCAGTTCATGTTACAAAAAAATATTTTTATGGAAAAACTTTTTTTCGTATTTTTGTGATTAAATCCCTGTAAAAACTTCATAAAAAAATTGTGAGTTTCCCGGTCTTTATTGACTATTGACTATTGACATATTGACAGCTCCTTCATTTTGTTGCAGTAATAATTCATCACCCTGTAAATTTTCTTCAGAAATTTTTCGAGCCTCGAAAGGTCCTTTAGATTTTTATTTCACATATTTCCTTTTTTTAATATAGTTTGTCCAGATTTGGAATGTCAAGCAGCAATCTCCGTCCCAAACAAAGCTCTGTAAGTGGCTCGTTCTATAATTGGTTTGATCTACACATAAGAGGCGGAGTTCGACCGATGACTTGACATTCAAATTCTGAACAAACTATAAACGCCGACTGTGGCATTCAAGTTCTGAAAAAAACTATAAACGCCGACTGTTCGGAAAAATAACATTCCAAAATTTAAAAAAACACATTATTAAGTGAAAGGTAAATCAGTGTGACCAGTTTAGTGACCGCCTGGTATTACTATTTAAAAAAAGATGAATGCTTGAAAAAAATCAGTTATATCAACTTCAAATAATCCGAAAGGACAAAAATTTGATAACCGCGCGCATTTTTCTTGATGTTAGAAAGAGAGCGCAATTTCCTGTACAAAATTTGAAAAAAAGAGTGCGCATTTTTCCTTACGTGCGCATCGAGAAAAGAGTGCGCACAGCGCGCACTTTCCAGCATGCCATTACTAATTTATAAACATTAAATAAAAATAAAAGACAATGTTTCTCATCATGACATGTAGTTTTGTTTACTCACCGAGACATTGAAAACTATCTTAATTTCCAAAATTTTCGTTTTTTTTTCTTACTCTCATCTTTTATATTATTTTCAAATGTTCGACCGAATCCTCATGTTGTTGCAGCGACGGTGCAACAACTTTTTCAGGCAACAACGTCTACGGAGTGACGCTCGACCATGCCGGCGAGGTCATCGAATCGTTCACGACGGCGATTTTGCCTTTCTACCTCGTCGTTTCCAACTCTTCCTCCGAAGTCATCTTTCAATGGCTTCAAGAGGCTCGGAAAATCTTTGCCGAACCTCGATTCGCTGAGCTTTTTGTGGTCAGATTTTCAAAGAAAACAAAATGATTTTTCTCAAATTGAAGATCGAAGCAACTGGAGATTCCCTTGTGAGTTCTGAAGTAAGGAGGATGGGATTTGAGACGGCGCCGCTTATCGTGGCTTCTGTCGCTCTTATTACCGTATTTGTCGTCGCTTTTTCTTTTAGGTACAGTTAAAGTTGTCCTAAAATGTCCAGGAACTGGGAAATCGATAGTTTATCTTTTTAGATTTGGAGTGACCATTGGAAAGGGAAAACGGAACTTTTATGAACTTTCATTTCTGAATGGTCGACCTTTTAATTAAATTTTGGTTCTTTAAAGTTTACTGTAAGGATGTCTGATTAACCTAGAGATCTTACAAGACGACTGAAAAGCAAAAAGCAGAAAATTTTTTTATTTCTTGGGTCCAATATACAAGCCTAGTTCCAGAAAAACAAATTCCAAAACTTATACATTTTTACTTATTCGTATACTTCTCCAACTTTAATGTTTCATACACTTTTTTGAACGGACAACATGATTTTCGTGGTGAGAAAGTCATTAGAAATGTTTTTGTTGATTTCAGGAGCTTTACCATTCTTTTTCAGGCTTGGAAGAAGTTTAGGAACCTTTTTCAGACAACAAAGAATCCGGTCGAAGCCTTGGGAATCCTTTATTGGCTGTATCATTCCATTGCTCGCCTTGGTTTCTTCTACCGGCCTTTTGTCGTTTTTCGGCTTCAAGTTTCAGGTTTCAGAGCCCATTTTTGGAATTCAGTTGATTTTATAGAGAAAAATAGTCTGGTGTAATTTTTTTCTAGGTGATATTTTTACTTAGTAAACATTGTAAGAAAAGTTTCAGAAACCCAAATAAAATTTTTTTAAATGTAGTTTTTTGCCGTGGAATCTTTGAGCTATGAAAGTATTTGCCTTTCCTTTTTTGTATTTTAATGAGAAAAAGAGGTTTCTAAACGTAAATTTTGGATTCAGCTTCATTTTAGATTTTAAAAAATCGATTTGCAGTCCATAATCGTGGCGGCACTGTTCCTGGTCCTTTCCGTCGGCGTCGACGACGTCTTCATCATTTTGCGGGCCTGGGACCGAACTGACACCAGCCGTGGTGTTGATCATCGGATGGCTGAAACCCTTGAAGAAGCCGGACCGAGCATCACAATCAGGTAATAATTGAGCGCCTGGAAATCCTTAGACTGTTATTTCGCGATGTTCGAAATGATCCTTTTTCTATTGTTTCATTCAAGGACTAACCCGGAAAACGAATTTGAACCAGGCATACAACTTTAAAATGGAACTAAACCATGAATCGGGAGCTGAAAATCACTAATTTTCGGACATAGCACGTAAAATTTTTAGTGACCCCTCTAGTAGCTTCAGCGCTCTTTAGTGATCTCTAGAATCCTTCAGAAACCTCCGGTTCGGGATACCGAGGTCCTAGTTGAAGAGTAGAGCCGGACGCACTTTCTAGAAATTCCATAGTGGTCCCTATAGGGGTTAGGGGGAAAAGTAGCCTCTATAGGGGCCGAAAAGTGGTCCCTCTAGGGGTGAAATCAAGGCGGTCCCTATAGGAGTTCAGAGTCTGACCCCTTATCTGCTAAACGCTCAAGTGGACCCTATAGGGTTCCTTCAACTTCATTGAAAATTATTTATTTAATTTTCGCATGGTAATGCTTCTTTGCATAGATTACATAAAAACTATCGATCAGTATGTCTCCTATAGTGACCACTTTTGCAAGCTTTAAGGGCCCCTTATAGGGGTTTTCAAATAGGTCCCTAAGGTTGCCTTCATAGGGACCCCTCTGGAGTTCCTGAGTTCAGTGGATTGTTAGTGAAGTAAAGTTGGAATCGAATATAATTTGCAGCTCGCTGACCAACGCGATGTCGTTCTTCATCGGCATGACCTCGCAAACGCCGGCCGTCCGGAGCTTCTCCTTTTTCTCGGCCGTCGCCATCATCATCTGCTACCTCTACCAGCTCGTCATGTTCTCGGCGGTCTTGGCGTTGAGTGGTCGACGGGAAAAAGCCGGAAACTCGTCGATTTTTTGCTGTTTGAAGGCCACTCCGCAGGTAATTCATTGTTCTTCAGATCTTGCCAAGAGGATAATTTCCAAAAAGAGCGAAAAAAAAGTCAAAGTTTAGCTAATTAGCTTGAACTACTGAAAAATGGTCCTGACACGACAACAAAAGAGATAGTGCCTGCCTGGTGGAGGTTGCAGACAAGCCAGGTCCCTTGCGAAGCTGGCTGAAAATCGGTTATAGGCTGATGAAAGAACGCAAGAAATCAGTGAAAAATAATTTTTCCAGCTTCCAAGAAATTTTAGAAAAACCCTGGAGAGTCCAAATCGTACACAAATTGTAGATTTTTTAAAAATGGGCTAAATTTTTAGGACGAAACTTTCCATAAATTTGAGCTTTCCTAAGAACTATGTTCAGAATCCCTTACACGAAACGTAGTGCAATGCAGCATGAAATAATTTTTCAACCTCTGAGAAGCCCTGGGGAAAGTCGATTGATTAGGAGGAGTAACTTTTCCCAAATTAGAGCTTTCTAAGGAATCATGTACAGCATTCCTATCCATGGAACGTAGTGTATTGTTCCGCGAGTTCAAAAAAAAAAGAAGAGGAAGTCAATGTCATGAACCTGACCGATTGGGTCGTTTACGGGGGTGAAGCTTGTTCCTCAAGGTTGTCGCCGAAATAGCGAACACTATAAATCTCCCAAGGAATGTAACTTTTTTCCACAGACGGACTCTGGATTTTTTTTCTTACTGTTGTTCGTAGAACTGGTATATTGATCATTGATAAATTTGAAAGGTGAGTGATCATTTTTATATAGGGGTCGATTATTGAGTTAAATAAGGTTGAAATTTCTTTTTGGAGAAGAATAAAATAATTTGTCACTATTAATCAAATTAACGATAAGTTATTCACCGGAAAAGTGGTCACTATAGGGGTTTAAGGCCTGACCCCTTAGCCCCTAAGCTCCAGTGGGCCCTATAGGGGTCTTTCAATCTCATTCAAAAAACGCTTACTTGTTCAATTTTTCCCATGGAAATGCTTCTTCACCTAGAGTTTATAAAATTATCCCTAGGGGGGACCCTCCAAGGACCACTAAGGCTCTCATATTGGGACCACTTTTGCAAGCTTTAGTGGCCCCTGTAGGGTTGGTAAAGGGCTTCTAAGGTTGCCTCTATAGTGACCACTCTGGAGTTCGTTTGAACCAATATTTTTCATTTTGCCAACTAATTCACCTTTCTTGGAAGCCCATGATCAGACATGAAATACCTCTTCTAATCACACTGAATTGATTCCTAATTTGGAAGTCTATGATCCCTTCTAGCATTTTTTTTTCATATCACGCAAGGCGTTTCGAGTTAGGAATGTTCGGAAAGCGAAGTAATTCTAGAACGAAAAAATTTATCTTAAATCTGAATATTTAAACAAATTTTAATATCTGTTCGCAGTGCAAGAAATGAACTCTATAAACTTGATACTGTGAAAAACCACTTCACTGTATCTAAGGCTGTTGTTTATCAACTTCGAGTTGATTATTTATTATTGAGACTTCAGCCATTACACCGGATAATCATATATGTATTATTCTAAAAAGTTGTATTTGCGCTGAATTTCGGTTTTTTTTTCGATAATTGGTGGAAATTTTTTCCAGGGAAAATGCGCGTTGGTCAAAAGTATTGTCCAGCTGCAAACTGCCTTCATCAGAGAGTTCTCCAAGTTTCTCATCACTTGGACGGCGAGGTGAATTTGTGGAAAAAAAGGCGACTTGAAAAATAATAAACGGAATTTTAGAGCGTTTTAGCGCATATTGTTTGCCACGACTTGATATTTCAAGGAACGACATTTCGCTGTTCCGCTGCGTGCGTTCGCGAAGCGTCTTTTGGATCTAGGTCACGCTTTGAATTAATTTTTTTTGCTGTGGTAGCACAGGGAAGTAGGGTACCAAAAAAAAAAAATTAAAAGTGCTACCAAGGTTCGCAAAGGCGCGCAGCGGCACAGTGCAATGTCGTTCGGTAAAATTCCAAGTCGTGGTACACAGGCTATATCAAGAAATAAATAAAAAAATTTTCAGAATCTCTCTGATCGCGATCATGTGCCTGTACTACTACATCAGCTTCATCGGCATCTACCAAATGCGGACTTTCATCTCGTTGGAAAAGATGGCCTTGCCCGACTCTTACCTGCAGACATTCCAAAACACTTTCGAGACGTCGCTGAAAAGCATGCAGCCGATCAGCGTTTTCGTCATGAATCCAGGCGATTTGAGACAACCTGAGCGGATGCAAGGCGAGTAAATTGTGATAAAGTCCATTCACCGCGACTTGAAAGTGTCTGCGTTTCTCTGTTCCCTCCTCAGTGAGGTCAGAGAAACAGAAAATAGTACGTAAAGATGAGAGAGACGTCGAGAGACGAGGTCCCGTCGTTTCAAGTCGTCAAAAACGGACTATAACCTAGTGATCGATTGAAAAATTACTCTGAGGGAAGCAAAAATAAGCAAAGGTAGCTCTCAAAAACGTTACAAGGCGTCAGAGAGCTTGAAAATATTGAAAACACGAATTCAAGTGAGGGCGAAAATAAAAAAATATCCTCTTGATTTTTTCCTGTTTCTATCCATGTATTTAACGTGGAAGGCGTTTCTTTTCAATAGTTGTTCGTTGATTGAGCGCATGCTGGAAAAGTCGGTCGGTCGGTTAGTTTGGAAAACTAGGCCACGCCGCAATTTTGCTCCATGGAACACTTAGAATCTCAATCTTTTTTTTTCTTTTCTGAATTTTTCTTCCTTTTTAAATTTTACCAAGGTTCTCCCTTTTTCTCGTTCAAGTTTATCGTTTTCGCGAGCAGAATACGATTGTTACTACATTGAAAAATTATAAAATGATGCAATTTTTTTAAAAAAATTCTTATATATCTTTTTGGGTCCAAAATAACTTTATATAACCATATGAGCGAAATTAAAAATCATAAGTTATCGAAAAATGAGATAATGTGTAAAAATACACACAAAAAAAGCTAGAGACAAAATTGCCTCCAACAAAAATTAAAACATTACCTAGGGAAACTATGATAAACAGGGAACAGTTTAGTTTGAAGTGAGGAGCATGTGAAATATCTTAGAAAACTGATAAAAAAAGGAAGGAAAACTATAGAAAAAGAGAAAAAAGTCTGAAATTCGATTTTCCATGAAGCAAAATTGCGGCGTGGTCTGGTTTTTCCAAACCGACCGACCGACCGACTTTTCCAGTATACCTATTGAAAAAGTCATTTCTGCTTTTGGGCGTTCATGGCTTGGAAGGCAGGGCGGCCAGTGGGCAGCCATCCTCCACCTCTGGTTGAAAGAGTCTAGTTATTATTTTCACTATTCATGTCGTTTTACAATTAACTTGCGGGAAATTGAAAATTTTTACCGAATCCCCGAGTTTTAGATATATTTTCCACTCTCTAAATTTTTTTGAATGTTGAGGCATCACATGAAAAAATTTAATTTTCAAAGACTCTTCTTTTTATTTTTTTAAAAACATTTTCTGAGTCCGCAATCGTTGTTCAATAAGTCCCGGCGGGACAGCCAGATTTGAGAAATAAGGCGGGCCCGTTGGTAGTACCAGCGAATGAACTGCTTCACCAAATTGGAACAGTACAGCGCCCAGCTTGAAATTGAAATAGAAATTTTGTGAGTAATTTTTGAACTGAAAACGACTCTTTTTTAAAAATCATAAGCAGAGTAGGGAAGGGCGGAAAAAAGATTCCATAAAAATTGGTGAGAAAGGTTCCTTTTTAGCTGCCTTTTTGCGCCCTTTTATCGACTCTTTTGCACCATTTCGGCTGACTCTCCCTTTCTCTCTTTTCCTACAATTTGAGTCTTTAAAAACACAAAAAAATGGAAGGCTCGATAAAGGGACCCTTTTTGCGGCCTTTCTGCACCCTTTTTCGAGCCTCTCCCCGTTAGCGGCCGTTGTCCACCATTCCGACGTTGCCCTACAAATTTAACTGGCTCATGAAGTTTCGGCTCATTTTCACATTCCTCAAAGTGAACTGCTCAACTTTTCAGGCGTGAAAAACATTGTGGAGGATTTCGAAAACGCCGTCTACAGCTACGGGCCCAACTCAACCTTCTTCTGGATCCAGCCCTATGAGGAGTTCTTGATGGTTTTTTCAACCCTCAAATTATTGAGAAGAATTGTCTTTTCTTCAGTTCTACGGCGAGTCGGAGGAGTTCACCTACGCCGAGATCCCGACGTTTTTCAAAAGCGCCACTTATTTCTATCTGACGTCGTTCGTCAAGTTCAACGAGACGGCCTGTTTGGACAATGACCCGAGTTGTATCACCTCGTTCTTCTTCATGACCAACTTTCATAAGGTTCGAATTTCGTGGGCAAAAAAAAGGACTTTAAAAAGCCCATTTCTTCAGAAAAAAATACAAGACTCGAAATTTTTCTAAAGGAAGTAAAATCCAAAAAAATTCAGATCAGCGGGGGGTTAAAATCAAATGATCGAAACGGTGGTCTCTATAGGGGTGAAATCGAGGTGGTCTCTACAGGGGTTTAGGCTCTTTTCTCCTTAGCCCCTAAAGCTTGAGTGGTCCCTATAGGGGCTTCCCAATTTCCTTCGAAAAACTCTTAATTATTTATTTTTTGCATGCAAACGCTTCTTCGCTTAGAATTCATAACAATTATCGACTGGCATGTCCCCTATAAGGACCACTTTTGCAAGCTTCAGCGGCCACTTCAGGGTTTATGGGGAAAACAGCCGCTGTAGGAGCCCGAAAAGTGATCCCTATAGGGCTTTAGAATCCCACCCCTTAGCCCCTAAAGCTTTAAGGCCCCTAATGGGGTTTTTCAATTTTATTTTTAAAAAAAAACGCTAATTCATTCAGTTTTTCTCCATGGAAATGCTTCTTCGCATAGAGTTCATGAAAATTATCGACCCCGATAGGGACCACTTTTGCAAGCTTTAGGGGCCCCTATGAGGGTTGGTAAAATGGTCCCTATGACTGCCCCTATACCGACCTTTCTTTTTCAGCACATCAAGTACCACGAGCTGATCCCGGCGCTGCAAGACTGGCGACGGATCGCGGCCAAGTACGAGGACTACAACGTCTACGCCTACTCCGACCATTCCCCATTCGTCGACCAAGTTTCCCACAAATGCTCATTGTTCGTGTACCTGAAATTTCGCAGACGATGGCGATCGACTCGACGATTTGGTCGTCGGTGGCGGCGGCTCTGCTCTGCACGGCGATCGCCTGCTTCATGTTCATCCCCAACACGACCTGCATCATTGCTTCTTGTTATTCAGTCTTCTCCATCACTATTGGAATCCTCGGCATTCTAAGCTTATGGGGTTGGAAATCCGAAAAGATATAGAGAAAAGTGAAAAAGTCGTTTCCAGCCGTCGACCTCGACCCCCTCTCCATGGCCGCCTTGCTCATGGCCATCGGCTTCTCCGTCGATTTCTCTTCCCACATTGCCTATCATTATTATAAATCAAAACAGCCGGTAATCAAACCGATTCTTGAATCTCATGAAATGTGATCTCAGGAGCCGGTCCATCGGATCGAGGAGACTCTCACCTGCATTGGATGGCCATTGGTTCAGGTAAAGATTGGGTTTTGCGGGATTTTTACTTTTGATCTTTTGCTATGTTATATTTCTGTATCTTATTTCTCTCAAAAATCATTAACTTGAAGCATTCTTGTTGTCAGAAGCTTTGGTGGTGTGAAAAAAAGACTAGCGAAAATTCAAACGGCGATTTTTCCGATTTTTCATATCTCTAGGGAACTTTCCGACGGCCACCTTTCCGCCGAATCTTTTTTTTCTCGATAAAATCTTCGTTTTGAATCTTCCTATATAAAGTGTGTAGTTTATTCATGATTACAACACAAAGGAATAGGAAAAAAATGTTAATAGATGTTTTATAAACCGAAAAAAACAAGGAAAAAAAAAGTCGGAAAGGGATTCGGCGGGAAGGTGGCCGTCGGAAAGCTCCCTGGCGATACAAAAAAATCAAAAAAGTTGCCGTTTTAATTTTCGCTGGTCTTTTTTTCATACCATAGAAGCTTTCTGTAATTTTAATTTTGAGGGAAACTCATTTTTACTTGAGACATTTTATTGAGTAAGCACGGTGAACGTGTGTACAGGAAAAGTGACAAGGAGGTAAAAGAAAGTTTTTGATACTCGTAAAACAATGATTTCATTCATGACGTCACTAGGAGGACAAAGTGCGCCCCAGCGCAATATTGACCTACTATGCTCCAAAAAAATGAATAACTTTAGGTTGGCCTCTCCACAATCGTGGCCGTGGCGCCGCTTCTCTTCAAGCAATCCTACCTGGCCATGGTTTTCCTGAAGACGATCGTCGTGGTCGTTCTTCTCGGCATGTTCCACGGCCTCGTCGTCCTTCCGGCCTTGTTGGCCGCTTTTACAAAGAGGAAACAAGGTAGGAATGGAGAAAAAATCATTCTTAAACCCAAGGGAAAAGATTATTATTTGAGATTGCTTTTCTGTTAAGTCTACGTTCGAATCTTGAACAAAAAAAGTCGTCTTATCTTTCATTTTTGAGCCCTCTCTAACTTTCGAAGTTTCGAACGAACTTGGTTAGATTCAAAAAAACATTCCGATGTCTCCTTTTGTACGTAATTGAACGAGTTTCTTTTTGACGTCACGGAAATTGCACTAAATTTCTGTGATGACGTCATTTAATGCGCTTTTGGTCACGGAACATAGTTTAACCTCAACAGCTTGATCTTTAAACTGTCTGCTTCTTTGAAAAAGTCCATATGAACTTTTGACAATGACCCCTGAAAAAGAAAATCAAGCCGTCCTGGGAAAAGCTGAAGTGGGTCCTGAAGGGGCTGTGTTAGGAAGAGAGCAACTCGAAGGACCCCTTATTCGGAAACCTGGAAGAACTCTCCAAAGAACTTTTTCCGATCTCCTACCAGCCCCTTTCTGCAAACTCACTGTATGGGGTCCTTGATGACCAATCGGGGGTCCTATTTATACCCCATGTTCTGAAAGATCCTGAAAGAACTCCTAGCAGAGCCAGAAAACTTTTTCTCAAACTTCTACTAGCCGCTTTCTGCAAACTCACTGTAGGGGGTCCTTGTTGCCCAATTAGGGGTCCTATTTAGAGCGCAGAAGGGGGCTCTTTGGTATACCCTACGTAGGGGGTTTTTTCTCCCTTTAGGATCCACTCCAGCTTTTCCCAAAAGCTCAAAAAACCTTATTCGCGAATTTTTAGGCCATTTTGTTTATTGAGCTTCTGGCTTTGACAAAATCTAGAACCTTCTCATGGTTTCGAATCGAAAATCAGATTGGTTATTCCAATGACTAAGAATTCTTACTGGTTGAAGATTCTCAGAAATTTAACTTCCTACTGGTTTCTCAATACCTAAACCCCCTACCACTAGGCCACAAATTTATGCAATTTTTTTTCAGTCCCATCAACCCCTTCATCGATGCCAGAGTCGGAAAGATCATCTACACGGTCCGTTGAACGAAAAGAGAGCTTCTACCGCACTCAGAAGCTTATCAATCGTATCAATCAAGAAATCTGGCACTCGAAGGTCCGAATACATTTCTTGAAAAAATACGTTTTTCGAGCTTCAGGTGGCTCCGAAGACGCCCGAAGAACTGTGTGGCAAACCGGCACTGAAGCACAATATTGCGCTGGGGCGCACTTTGTCCTCCCAGTGACGTCATGAAAGAAATAATTGATTTGTCTTTACGAGTATCGAAAATGTGCTTTTACCTTGTCACTTTTTACCTTCTATGCATTAATTAAATATCTCTGTTTATTTTATGCCTTTTCTAGGAACTCCAATTGCTCATTGAGATGAATATTTTGTGCAAGATCTCCCCAATGCTTTCCTTTTGTACCTGTGGATTGTCCATTTGTCACAACTTTAATTAGTCTGACTCCAAGTTCTTCATAACCTTGCCGATGAGAGAAAAGATAGCCCAGACAGGTCAGACTTTTTCAAGTAGTGGCCATGAAATCATATCTGTAAATTTTCGACCCTATTTAATAAAAAATTTACTTTCATTATTATATTGCACTTAAATGACACGTTATACTTTTCGTTGTGGTACATTATTTTCCGATTCCCATTCCGCTGCCACGGATCACTTCGATAGCGCCGAAGCTCGCGGGGAGGTTCAAATCGTCGACGTCCGTCTGAAATGTGGGTTAGATTGATAAAATAGCTTTCAGAAAAGTTCTTGAGAAGAAAAACTTGAAAAAAGAGCAGTTTTCACAGCAGAACAGTTCAGATTTACCCAAGAATCATATGAAATTGAAAAAAAGGCCAATCATTTACAAATAAAAATCTTTACAAGCTAGAGTTCATGAAGGTCTGAAGAGAAGCTAGGCAGCGAGATTTTTTCAACTTCTCTTGCCTCTCTTTGAACCGTGGGTCCTTTCTTTTTTCTTTAGGTTTTCATTTTTTCAAGGATTATTTTTATTGAAAAAGTAAAGATGTAGTGAAATTCCGAACTTCGACCACTGAACACCCGAGACCTTTTTTGGAACTATCAAGGAATTGTTTTTAAAGCTGATTCACAGCTGACTTGAGCCATCGAAAAAGGTCCTTAAGGACAGTAAAAAAGAGACAGTGCCTGGTTGGTGGAGAGCGCAGTCACGCCACGCCCCCTCAGAGTCATAAGTTAGCCGTGAATAGGCTATAGTTGAGCGCATCTTGTTTTTTTCAATGTCAATTCATAATCTTCTTTTGAACGGAATTTTCCAAACTGTTTCAGTGGTTTTTCAAAGTGAAGCTCCCAATACCTTCTCTGTCAAAATAACATCAAACTCTGTAGAAGATATGTAAATTCGATTTAACAAACCTTTCCGATAGCAAACGGAGCATTAGGGTTAACGGCGCCGTATCCTGGCTCGTAGCCAGTGATTCGCTTGTTCGGCTTGTTCTGTCCTAGCTTTTTGAACACTGCAAACAGATATAATTAGTGATAAGTTGATCAATAAGAATATTACCGTTGTTAAGTCCTGGAACGTTCGGAACACCCAGTGATTTGAGAGTTTCTTGAGCGAATTTCTGATCTCCATCGTTGGGGGCACCGAGGCCGAAACTTGGGAATCTGTAAGGAATTATTTTTCGAGAAACATTTCAAGAGCTTCAACGCGCAAATGAGGCTACATAGTGAATTAAAAATCGCGGAAAAAAATCCTATAGAAAAAAATTTTTTTAATGAAAATCTCACTTTTTTTCAAGTTTCTAGAAAAATGATGGCATTCTTTGGTTTCAATTGATTTTTTTTCTGAATCAACAAGGCCAAAAAATCATTGGTAGAACTTTCTGACTGTACCTCTAGTTGATTCAAAAAAATTCATGACTCCTTCAAGTCTCATCTTTTTTTTTAAAACCAGAAGAAAGCACTAGTCTAAAAGTTCCAAACTGTACCTCTTGATTTAAAATTTGAGTACTTCTCTATAGAAGCGTTTCAATCAAAAATCAATTTTTGGAGGTCCGCTATTTTTTTTTAGTGGGAAAACGTGAAGTTTCCATAAAAGAGGACTCACCCATGAGTCAAGGCGTTCATAGACCTAGCCGGTCCTTTTCCGGTCCGGTGGCCTAGAACTCCAACCTCCCCACCGGTGTTCAGCATCATTCCGCCAATCTGCAAAGTTTTCAAGTAGAGAAAAATATATCTTTCAGCACCTGGTTGAAGAAGGGCAGCTTCTCCTGTCCAATGTCGGCTCCCTGGCTGGTCCGAACCTCGAAACCTGGAATCGCGCCGATTCCGAATCCCCAACTGCGGCCGACGCCGAAGTTTCCGTTTTTTTGCTTCTGACCGTAGCCGGTTGGCCGGCCTTCGTCCGCCGGATTGCTGAACCGATTCGGATAGAGGTTCGTGTTGGGCACGCCGCACATCTCGGAGAACTGCTGGCAGAAGACCTGGAGACCTTCTTCAAATTTAAAAGATTATTTTTTGAACCTGCAAATCGTAACGGAGCTTCTTGCCGGGAAGGCAAGTCACTTGGAAGGTGTACTGGTTCACGGGACAGTACTTTCGCCAGTCTTTCTCTTTTTGGAGTGTCGGGTAGATTGTGTAAAGAATGTTCTGGCGCGGCGGTTTCACTGTCGTCCGGATTATCGGTCTGAAATTTCTGTGGTTTCAAGCTTGTAAGTTTCATAAAGTTCAGCCTTAGGAACTCCAGAGTGATCCCTATAGGGCTCTTGAATGTTTTCTACTAAGGTCCGCTTTACATCACTGTAGGGGTAACTGAAGCTTGCAAAAGCGACCCCTACAGGGGTTTTAGTTAGAAGACCCTATAGGGAACATGCTTGTTGAAGAATGGAATTGAAGATGTTGAAGAATCCATGCGAAAGAAAAATATCAGCAGAGGATAAATCGATCAAGTTCGTCTTTGTAATTTTCAAACAATTTAAAGACCCCTATAGTGAACACTCAAGTCTTTAGATGCTCAGGAGTCAGACCCTAATCCCCTTTAGTGTCCACTTAAGTTAGAACTTATAAGGGGCCCTTTTCTGTCTCCTAACCCGTACAGAGAGTGGTCCTATGTAGCGGATCGTCTCATTGGCTTTCAGAAACTTTTAGTGATCACTCAAGTGGTGTCACGCCTCTTTGGGGTTCACTTAAATGACAGAACCATTTCGCAAGCTTACCAAGGGAAATTCTAAAAGCACAATAACGGTTATCTCTTTTGGCTGGTTTTTGAATAACCAGCCAAAAGAGACATTTATACTTTTTTTAATTTGGCGAGCTGGGGAATTTCAAAAAAGACGGGGTACCTTCTTGTGGTGGCTACTTCATTTTCGTCCTCCAGCGAGATATCTTCCTCCTGAAAATTTTCAAAAGGTACTTTTTGTTTGAAAACACTCGCATTGTAGCCTGTGTGCCACAACTTGGATTTTCACCGAACGACATTCCGCTGTTCCGCTGCGTGCGTTCGTGAAGCGTCTTTCGAATCTAGGTCACGCTTTCAAATGATTGTTATTGCTGTGGGAGCACACAAAAGTAGGGTATTTTAATAAAAGAAAAAAAATTTAAAGCGCGACCAAGGCTCGCAAAGGCGCGCAGCGGAACAGCGGAATGTCGTTCCGTGAAGTTCCAAGTCTTGGTACACAGACTATATTGTTTGAAGGAACTTAAAATTGGAAGCAAGGATCGATTTTTTTTTTGATTTTCAACAACACAGTATGAACTTTTGAACAGAATAATCTCAAAAAAGTGTTACCTCTTCCACAGACGTCGGCTCGAACTTCTTCTTGAACGGATCAATCGGCTTTTCAGCCGGCGCTTTCCTCAAATCGCCACCAGAATTTTTGCAAATCGCTTGCGACATGTTGCGCTTGCAAATGTCCTCGATTAGATCTTCAAATTTTCCGTTTGAATCAGAAAGTCCTTCAAAAGTTACCTGCACCGACGCATGAGACAAAAATTAGGGTTAGAAGAAGCCGAGAAAACATCAGAAATGACGGGAATCCCGCGGCTAACACCGCGCAATTCAGCCGGTTTTTCTCGTTTTTGTCTCATTCACCTCTCCTTTTTCGGCATTTGAGTTTTTGAGGGCGGGATTTGAAATGAAAATATTATTCGCAAAAGGGAGCCAATGAGAATATTCGCTAATTACTTTTTTTGCTTTTTCAAATTTTCAGGGTTTTCCGAAAGACTATGAAAGAATTTATAGCTGATTCACGGCTGATTTGAGCCATCGAAAAAGGGTTCCGACGCGAAAAAAGAGATATTGCATTGTTGGTGGTGAGTGCAAACAGCCATGAGCATTTTTATATTTTTTTTTAAAATTTGTTTTTTTGAACATTTTTCCATTATCTGGGGTAAGTTGAACACGAACTTTTTAAAACGACATAAAGGAACTCCAGAGGGCTCCCTATAGGGGCAACCTTAGGAGCCACTAAAGCTTGAAAAAGAGGTCTTTAAAGAGGTTTCAGTTAGTGGCCCCCATAGGGGAAATTCTAGTCGATAATTGTTATGAACTCTAAACGGAGTAGCATTTCCATGAGAAAACTGAACTTTACCATTTTTGATTTAAATTGAGAGACCTCTACAGGGTCCACTTGAACTTTAGGGGCTAAGGGGTCAGACCCTAAACCCCCATAGGGACCACTTCAGCTTTACCCCTGTAGAAACCACTTTTTCGGCCCACAAAGGGGTTGTTTTCCTTCTAACATCTTTAGGTAGGGACCGCAGACGAATTTTCAAAAAATTTTTCGAACTTCAATATTACTATGGTTGGATAGCTGCTCTAATTTACTATTCAAAACAGTTTAGTTTTTCGAAAAAGGTTGAGAAAAAAAAAAGTTATGGTCAAAACAGTAGTGAAAAAAAGTCGCGAAATTTAGTACTGAAAGTTTAGATTTTACACTTTTTGGTCGTTCATTTTGTTTTCATATCGGATTCAAAAATTTTTTTAGAAGTTTAGTTTGGTTTTTCAAAGTCGTAATAAGTCATTAAAACAGTATAAAAACCACAAGTTTGAAAAAGAAAAAGCTATTTTTTTCTTGAAAAATAAAAAAAAATGGCCGCTGCGAGGATTGAACTCGCGATATCAAAACTGTATGCAAGCGCACTTGCGCTGCTCTACGTACATCTCTCGGAGATGGGAGGCGTTCGCGCTATACAGCGCTTCACCTCAAATTACAGCATTTATCGGCTATCTTGTTAAAAAAAAAAGTTATGATAGTTGAACAATTATTAGTCACGTGTGTTCGGACCACCTAAAAATAATTTATTCATAGAGATTCAGTTCAAAATGCTTCCGTTTTCGGTGTTTTTTGTTATTTTTAACGTTGGCTTCAAATTAACAATAATTAAACTTTTTAGGCACCGCTAAAATTTTTTTATTTTATTTTTTTAATTGATTGAAAATTGAGATACGCTAATATTTAAGAAATAAAAAAAAGGCGCCAACGACATCTAACCATGTTAAAATAAATTTCGAAATTTTCACTGTCTATTTTTTTCTCAGAAAACAAAGTTTTTCCGAATAAGTTTTATTTTTAATAAAATTTTTAGTTACAATTTAATCCACAAGTTAAAATTAAAAATTTTTTTACTTACACGCTCTCGAAAGCGAGTACAACATTTTTCAACTTTGCGCGGCCTCACGAAGATTAGGCACCGTAAAAATTTTAATTTTTTTGTCTTAAAAGATTTGTTTTTCACTTAAGAATCGAATTCGAAAATAAAAAAAGGCGCCAACGACATGGAACTAGGTTAAAAACCCGAAGAAAAAAAGTAGTTTTGGTTTTTTGTACGACACTCCGCTAAAACGCTACGAAAATCGGGGGAAAAATATATCAGATTGAAGAGGAAGGTTTTCTCTGTTTCTCCAAATTTTCTCTGTGTTTGGTTCAGTATTGTGCTTTTACGAAAACATCAAACACAAAATCTAAAAAATCAGTGCATTTCACCATCGCAAAAAGGGGCGTGGCTCTGCGGTCTCTATCTTTAGGGATGAATTTTTGAATGAGTGAATTTTTTTTTTCGAAGCACCGATTTATCGATTAAAATCAGAAGATCTTTTTTTCAAAAATGGACAAAAAAAACCTTTTTTATTCTTGAGATATTTCCATCAGCTCATCGAAGCCCATCACTATGTAGAGTAAAAAAGTTTGGATTTTTTTTTCTATTTCCGTGTAAAATCTTCCGTGTAAAATCTTCATTCCGTGTAAAATCTTCATTCCGTGTAAAATCTTCATTCCGTGTAAAATCTTCACTCGAAGTGGTAGCTCTCATTCTGAGGCTTCCACCTAGAGCACGGTCTCCGGGCTCCAGCACAACATCCGCTACCTTCTGAGCTCGTCAAGGCGCAACTGGATGGACTACGCGCAGAAGGACGAGGCGAAGGACCGTAAGACCATGCTTTCAACTCTTTCGACTACACGTTTGGACTTCTAGCTCGCCAAAGGCGGTTGTTCGTTATAGCTTTCAAAGTCCTTGTTCACCGCCTAGTCGATACATCTATGACTAAACCAACAAAATAAATGATTTGATTTGATATTTCCTAAGTTTCTCAATTTTTTCGATTCTTGGCGAAGTTTTCACTTTGATGGATTGAGAACTATAATTCTTAACTTGAAATTCAAGATCCCCATTGAAAATCGGACTTGTTAAAACAAAATCGCGATCCAAATCCAATCAGAATTTTTTTTTTGTTTACAAATAGTTCTGAAAATTTTTTTATAGTCAATGTTTCCCGACTTGAAAGGCAAAGGAGGCGGGGCAAGGGGCGGGACGCGTGGCGTGTGCGTACGCGGTTCTTGGCGCCAGTTCAATTCGATCGCCACCGACTATGTAAAAAGCTCGGCAACCGCTCTTTTTCAATGTTTTCTACTATTTTTTGATGCACACATGAACATAATCAATAAATAATTTTTAAAAAAATTTAAAAAAAAGCGAAAAACGGGTTATTCAAAGAGAAGATGGCGGTTGAATTGAACACGTGCCAAGAACCGCGAACGCACACGCTACGCGTCCCGCCCCCTGCCCCGCCTCCCTCGCCTTTGAAGTCGGGAAACATTGACTATAGTACTGCAAAAAGAAAACCCAACCAAATAAATTACCATTTACTCGCATGCTGAGCAGGTGTCTCAACGGGTGTACCCGTATTAAACCCGTGTTTCTGAGGTTATTTTAGTCTCAGTTGGGCTAAAACGGGGGAACAACGGGTGTAAGAAAAATAGGTAACCCAGCTGGGCTAAAGCGGGGTCTCAGTTGGGCTAAAAAGTGCCAAAAGTTCTGTCAGCTGGGCTTATACGGGTTTAATACGGGGGCACCCGCGGAGACCCCGTGTTAGCACAGCGGGGTTACCCTGCTCAGCATGCGAGTACAGAAACTTGTACAAAATCTAACCAAAATAATATTTTCTTGTGTACAAGTACTCTTTTGAAAAGCATTCGAAACGTATCTTTTCTGGCTTCTTTTCATTTCTAGTTCTGATTTAGTTTATTTGCTTCCGATTTGAAAGCTTTGGCCGCACGGGGAATGGCTAAATAGTAACGGAGTTCTAGTGAAAAGTTCAAATTCTATTTTCCTTTCAGCGAACTGATGTTGCTGGCGAAAAGTGGAAAAAATATTCTGACTTTTGTGGTAGTTGAAATGAAATTTAAATAATTATAAAAGAGCCACGTCTTTGCACCATCAAAACAGTACGGACATGATCAAAAAGGTGATTTTCAAATAAATTCCTGAGGAATAAATGATATGCCAAGGTTTTGTACTGCTTGAACTCGATGATCAGCACCCGGCTTTTTTCCACCGATTATTTTGCTTTGAGCCATCTGTTGACAGGACGAAGAAAGTTTATTTCGGCGAGAGCTAGGGTCAAGAAATCTGGGAAAATTTATTTCAAATAGCGTTCCTGAAGTTGTGGTCAACCTGAAATCATCTGAAGTGGTCATTTAAATCGCCAACGGGGTCCTAGATCAAATAGAAACAAATTTTGGGATGGATCGCTGAAAAATGAACCGTCAGTCATCATGTAGTTCATGCATTGGTAAATGCATGAACTTCATGATGACTGACGTTTCATGAACTCAAGAACCCCCTCCCCTATTCGCGCTTTTGGAGTGATTTTTAAAAGTGATAGTCCTTCTAGCACTTTCCCAGATAAGACCAGTTTGTAGAGCAATTCAAAAGGTATCTTTTGAGATATTAGGAAGAATATTATCACCTTGCATAAAATCATCTGTGCCTCTAATCATTTTCTCGACCGTGATAAATTCTTCTCTCTATCCCTTTTACAGAGGAATACACTTCGACTACGGACAACTGTTCAGTTTTCTAATGACTTTTTTACTAGAACTATTCCTCTTTGGAATAAACTAACTTCTTATTTAGATTTTAACGTTACACCAGAAACTCTTCGTAAAAAGTTGAACGCTCTTCCGTTTGAAGCCTTTCATGAAAATATCCCCTCTCGTCTCCTTTGAATTTGTCATATTTCCGGGTACCCGTCAACTCGTTGGGGTTGACTCTTTCCCGTGTATTGTTATTTCTCTGCCTATCCTTCGCTTGATCATTTATTCTTCAATTATTTTTTTTTCTGTTAAATAACGGCAGTGAATAAACTATATATACATAATGAATTTCTGGGCTCAATTCCGGGTTGGCCGGAAAACTGGCTCCGTGAACACAGAAAGTACCATATCTCCAATCTTTTCTACAGTAACAAAAATTATTGTTTAGGATTTCAAATTCTAAGCTGGTTAATTTTTAAGTTTGGATAAATCATTGATTCTGAAAGAGGCTCGGAAAAGTATTTTCCGTTCTAAAAGTGAAATTCGACTGGATTGAATTTGCTTTTTCGAAATGAATTGGAGCGGATGCAAACTTGAGTAAAATCTTCGTATATTTCAAATTAAGATGATTTCGGAGTGCGATTATTTTGAGCATTCCAACGTTTGAAAGTTTTTTTATGTTCAATTTTCAAAAGCAAAAAAAATTC